AGGTCAAACGGATACAGCAAGTCCCAAGGCTCTCCACCATAAATCACACTGTTAATACAGACTATCTGACAGGGCCCAAGGGCCCAAGTAAACAAAGACTCTCATCAGGCAGGATATTTCAAGGGCTTAGGAGTTTTTCCCCCAGAAGGTAGTCAAGGGCCAGTCCTTTCTCTGGGAGATGCAGGGTTTGAACACCCCAAGTCTGCTGAGTTAATCCTTTACTTCACAGGGAGAAAACTAGGGTAATTCAAATAAGTCTGTAGCTTAGTTAACAGTCTTGTATCAAAGTTTTTCCCCTGGGTTTGAGCATTGTACCATAGTTACATATATTTATAACATTGTAGGTAGCTAGATAATGGATATACATGAACTCTCTATACTATTTTTGTAAATTTCTCTAAGTCTGAAATTATTTCAAAATAAAATGTTAAAAATATCCATGCGAGGCCAGGCATGGTGGCTCATGCCTGTAATCCCAGCACTTTGGGAGGCTGAGGCAGGCAGATCACCTGAGGTCAGGAGTTCGAGACCAGCGTGGCCAACATGGTGAAACCCCGTCTCTACTTAAAATACAAAAATTAGCTAGGTGTGGTGGTAGGTGCCTGTAATTCCAGCTACTCAGGAGGCTGAGGCAGAAGAATCACTTGAATCTGGGAGGTGGAGGTTGCAGTGAGCCAAGGTCATGCCACTACACTCCAGCCTGGGTGACAGAGAGAGACTCTGAAAAAAAATAATAATAATAATAATAATCCATGGGAACATGGACAAGCAATAAAAGAAATAAGAAAATATATTATCTGTGTGTATCTGGCCCCTTCACCTCATTTTCTTATGGAGTGGAGCCCAGTCAATGACTAATTTCAACTCAGGTGTTCACAGCAAAATTCATCACTTACTGTGCATCTGTTGTATGGATGAGGACTCTGATGGCTTCCTTGAGGAATTGCTAAATAAGCATTATCTTTGCCGAAATCAAATCACCAGATAATCTTTCTGATCCTCAGTTTCTCCTTTCTCACAAATGGGAATGAAAATTCTGATGAACTAATCAAGTATGCTACCAATGGGAGATTGCTGTTAAGAATGTCTTCAGACTCGAGTGTCATCCTGTCTGTCATTCTGCCGGTGCGTTTCTCTTCTACAGCTCTCTTTTTGGGGACGTCGCCAATAATGTACATTTGAACAAGATGGATGCGGCTGTGAAAAGGATCGGATTCTGCCCAGGACTTCGAGGCGACATACCTTCCCTCTACTTCTGCATAGGGTATTCTGTACCTCTTTAGGTTTGTGTTATCGTTGTCTTTCCCCCACTGAAATGTAAGCTGAAAAGAAACAGAGGCCCTTGTCTGTTCCAGGCTTTGCTATAGCTCCAGCATCTAGAACAGTGCCTGGCACTCAATAGATCCATGTTAAAGGAATGACTGAGTTTCTCCTGGCCATTAAACCGTTAGTATTGGTATGACTTCTAATAGCTCTAATAGCTCTGTCAGAACGTATGCGCTCCTAGATTGTTCCAGGAATTGGAGGAATACTCTGTGCAGATGTTTAAAACTAATATCTCTTAATATTCAAACCCTATATCAGTGTAGTGGCTATGAAAGAAAAAAGTTGCTTTTTTTTTTTTTTTTTTTGAGATAGAGACTTGCTTTGCCACCCAGGCTGGAGCGCAGTGGTGCAATCTCACCTCACTGTAACCTCCACCTCCCAGGCTCAGATGATTCTCATTGCCTCAGTCTCCCAAATAGCTGGGAATAGAGGCATGCACCACCACACCCGGCTCATAATTTGTTTGCTTGTTTGTTTGTTTTTGCATTTTTAGTAGAGACGGGGTTTCACCATGTTGGCCAGGATGGTCTCAAATTCCTGGCCTCAAGTGATCTGCCAACCTCAGCCTCCCAAAGTGTTGGAATTACAGGCGTGACCCACTGCACCTGGCCGGTTCTCTTTTTTTTAATCAAACATAACCAACTGTTGCAGGAACAGCCCAAGTCCGAACAAGGGCATAAAAATGAGAAGCGCAAGTATTTTCAGACAGGCCTCCCATTATAGACTGCACGACTGGGAAAGACTGATCATACTAACAGCGGGAGGCTAGCTGACTTTTCCCTCCAATATCCTTCCATAATTGCTTATCTTGGGTGATTATACACCAATGCTTTGTCAAACAGTATGTGACCTCAGCAGAACTGACCAATACATTACTGGAGCAGAATAATGTCTTGAAATAAACCCATGGATAAAGGGTGGATTATCCAATAAATGACATTACCACAATTAGGTAAGCATTTGGGAAAACAAATGAAGTTTTATTACACCATATATGTTATGGATTGAATTGTGTCCTCCTAAAAGATAAGTTGAAGTTCTAGCCCCTGGTACGTTTTGTGGCGAATGTGGCGTTTTGGAAATAGGGTCTCTGCAGTTGTAATCAAGTTAAGATGAGGTCATTAAGAGGTCCCTGATCCAATATGACTGACATCTTCATAAGAAGAGGAAAAGAGACACAAACACACAAAGAGAATGCCGTGTGAAGACAGAGGGGCCAAGGCTCAAGTGATTCATCTATAAGCCAAATATTGCTGGTGACGTCAAAGCGAAGAGAAAGTCATGGAACAGATAGATGTTCCCCTGGAGCTGTCCAAGAAAGCACAGCCCTACTGCCTCCTTGCAAACAGAACCGTGAAAGAATACATTTCTGATGTTTTAAGTCATTTGGTTTGTAGTAATTTGTTATAACAGCCCTAGGAAATATATAATATAATATAATATAATATAATATAATATAATATAATATAACATAATAAATATAATATATTATAATAAAATATTCCAAAATGTCAAATATTTACATGTCTAATACTAAAGCATGAGAAAATATGTTGGACAGCGTATAGTTTGGGGAGCAGAAAACCTTTGTTATACTAACACTAAGATCAGAAATCATGAAAGAAAAGTTTGACCAGCTGACTACATTAAAAATATACATTTCTGTATTGCTCACAAAAAAGAATAAAGTTAAAAGAAATAGTAGAAGTGTATTTGCCACCTATGACAAAGAGTTTATATGCACAGTTCATAAGGGCTCCTGTAAATTATAGACATGTAAATAACTCAATATATGTATGAACGAATGACTAGACAAAGTACACAAGAAATTCAAATGGCAATAAAACATGTAGAGAGTTGTTCTGCTTCACTGATAATGAAATAAATGAAAATTAGGATAAAATCTATCATTTCTCCCAAATCATACTGTCAAACATGAATCAAATTGAAAGCCTCTGACACTGATAGTAGCAGCTCCCACATGTTCCAGCCAAAGGGACTTAGGGATGTCAGCTGTGATGTCAAGGGTGACTCAGCAGATCTGAGTTGACCAAACCCTGCACACAGCCTTGATCAGCTCCTAAGAGATGAACCCTGAGTCCTTGGAGTATCCCTCCTGATAAGGGGGGCTTCATGTGTCTGAGGCTTTGGGCCACATCCTTAGTTTATGCCAACAGTGTGATTTATGATGAAAGCCTGTTCACACGTGCCTGAGGCTCTAGGCCATGCTCGATTAATTTCACCTCTGTTGGGCTGGGGTCCGAGTAGCCGAGGTAAGTCACATGGGCACTGCATGCCCATGTGACTGACTCCAATGAAAACCCTGAACACCAATGCATAGGTAAGCTTTCATGGTGGCTAACACCTCAAGTGTGCGGTGACACATCATTGCTGGGGAAAATAAGCGCTATCCGTTCAGCCCCGCAGGGCAAGGACACAAGAAGCTTGTGCCAGTTTCTCCTGGACTCTGCTTTATGTTCCTTTTTCCTTTGCTAATTTAAATCTGTATTTTCAAAGTGTAAGCACAAGTCTAATAGCCTTTCTTAGTGCTATGAGTCCTACTAGCGAGTCGCCAAATCCAAAGGTAGTCTTAGGACTCCCTTCACAAGGGTCTGTTTGCATGAAGCTGGAAGCTGAGTTTGCACAGCACTGTGTATAGCACCTAGAGAACCTGCATTACTCAAATGAAAGAACGGAGGGGGCCAGGCTGAGAGGGGATCTTGGTGGCAGCCAGGGCTTGCAGCCCTCCTGAGTACTCATGTTGCTGTGTACCTGGGTGGAATATGGGATGGATGGCCCGTGCCCTGGGCATGGCAGCGAGCCCGTGGCCCTCAGGCCTGGCACCTGCAGGCATGAGCTCTAGCCCCAGTACAGTGCGAGGCAGAGGCAGAGGCAGAGCCAAAGAGAAGTGTTCTTGGTCACTGGGGGCTGGAACTGGTGACAGATGTGCTCTTCCCACACATCCTAACGAAAACAGCTGCGACAATACTTCATGCATGGTGCTGGGCATGTAAGGCAACACACACAGCTCGGAAGTGCTCAGAAGTGTGACTGTGAAAGTGATTTTCCTCTTGCTGTGCACTGAATGGTGTCCCCCCAAATTCATACACTGGAGCCCTAACCCCCAGTGTGACGGTATTTGGAGATAGGACCTTTAAGGAAATGAGGCTATTCGGGTGGGCCCTAATCCACGAGGACTGGGGTCTTTATATGGAGAGGAAGAGACTGCAGGCATGCTGGTGCACAGAGGAAAGGCCGAGGGTGGGCGCAGCAGGAAGATGGCGACCTGCAGCCACCTGCAGCCAGGGAGAGGGGCCTCCAAAGAAACCAGCCTGACGCACCTTGGACGTCCAGTCTCCAGGACAGTGGGAAAGTCACACGTGTGCTATAAGCCTCCCAGTATGTGGCACTTTCTTAGGTAGCCTTAGCAAACGAATAGAACTTGGAGATGGACACAGACTGCTCCCAGGTGTTCACCTGGCCGTGTAGCCCTCATCTTTGCTCCCGCTCTCGTTTCCGAGGAGCCTGTGGAGCTGGCTGTGCAGTCATGTAGGCAGTAGCGCTTTGCAGGCTACAACGTCTCCCCCGTGGGCCTTCTGGGTGCACACAGAGGCGGAGCCTCTTGGAGCAGAGTCATGGGCAGAGCTCTCCCGGCTCCACCTCGGCCTCCCATCAGGGGTGAATAAGGCAGAAGCGGAGGGGACAGTCACAGCCAGGACAGGAATGTCACCCCTAGCTGGCAGACAGCGCTCTGAGCAGTCTGGCCTGGGATCCTCTGCCCTGCCCACTACTTCAGGAGGCCAGTGTGCTCACTGCCATCCCACAGCCTGGGGACCCTGGACTCCAAACCTGCGAGTGCTGGAGCGGGCAGCTGGAGCGGGCAGCTGGAGACCACCCGGACACTTTAAAACACAGGTGCCTTATAGCGTATGTAACAAACCTGCACCTTGTGCACATATACCCTAGAACTTAAAGTATAATAAAAACAAACAAACAAACAAACAAAAACACAGGTGCTCGGCGGGAACAAATCTCTGCTGGGGTGGGAGGGGAGAGGGATGGGGGACGCTGCGTCCCAGGCCCTCTGTGATTTTCTGATGGACTTCCTTCCTTGGGAGCACTGGCTCAGGGAGCTCCTGGCCTCTCCTCCTCTACCGCTTCCTCCGCCAACCGCCTCCACCTGCTCCCGGCCTGATGTCCGCAAAGTCATGGGTGCAGTAGTCCACGTCCAGGCTCACTGCGGAGGCAGCCCTCTTCAGACAGGAGGCAGAAGAGACGGTCCCAGCAGGTTAGCTTTTACTTTAAAATTATTATGTAATTATGTATATTATTATTGTCATCAACATCTTTTTATTCTGCAAATACTAATTTCATGTCCAGTATGGGTAGGCTCTGTGCAAGGTAAATTACTAAGTTTTGTTAATGAAGTCAAACCAAGTCATGGATTCTATAAAAAGACAACTATTTTAAAATATGGCATCAATGACATTATATAGTTAAGATAGTATAAAGACACGACTTGGAACGAGCAAACGTGGGAACAAGGCAAGGAGAACATTTAGCTTCCTTTCAGAGTGCTCACACTAATTGCTGATGAAACATTTCTGCACTCGGCAGAGAATCAGTCCATAGCCCCCCTCTGATTTAAATGTGGCCCAGCTTGGACTTTGAGAGCAAATGTCCCAGCGCCCCTGGGAAGAAGTGATGCAATTCTCTCTTTGTGCTCTGTTTATCATTTCTGAGAAGCAATGACGCACCTGCCTCTTGCAGTTTGGTCTAATTACTTGTCTGATCTCCCCCACGGAGATGCAGCTCTGTTCTCCCTTGGTCTCCAGAGAGTGGGGGCCGCAGACTCTCCTGGAGGAGTGGGGCTGGCCATCATGGGCGGGGGGCGGGCGTGGAGACCCTTCGAAGCTGATCTGTATTGCAGGGTGCGGAGTAGGTCTGGGGGTTCCTGCGCCTCTCATCTTTAAAAACCAGCAATAAGGTAGTTTACTGTGAGCCAGGCCCATCATTCTCTTTCCTCCCTGGAGCCATCGACGAGTCTTCCCCTAAGGGCTGGAAGGGAGGGTCCCCTTTCTTTGATTCCCCTTGCAGTTCCTCTGATGCTGAAGAGTAGGGCTTGCAGGGACTCTGCCTCCTGCAGGGAGCAGCCACTGTTTCCAGGGACCCTCCCAGAAGAGGAGCTAATTTCACACTTTGGGACTCCGTGGAAGCCGGCTTCCTGGCAGTTTGAAGCGTGCTTCTCACACATCTTCCACCAGCTTGTTCGTCTGCCTATATCTGAGGATCCTTTAAAGTGATTGAAACAAAATTAAGGGTAAGAAACTTAAAATTCACTTTGTGCTTGCTATGTGCCAGACACAGTATTTGGCATGATACAGATTTTCACTGACATCAACTCACTTGGACGGGTGACTTCACTTCTCCGTGCCTTAGTGTCCTTACCTGTACTGATAAATCTGATGGTACTAGCACTTAACCAGAGGGGTATTGTGAAGAAAGACTAATGTAATACACATAAAAGACTCAGAACAAATCCTAGGACAGGCAGCATTCAATAAATGTGAGGAGATATTTCATCCTCCTCCTCCCCATCAAGGTAGATATTTAGCCCATTTTACAGATGAAAAAGTGGAGGCCAGGCAATGGAGTCGTCCTCACAAGGACCCCCTGAGGAAAGTGGTACAATCCCAATTCAACCCAGCCCAGAGTCCTCCTGGACCTCACACCACCACAGCATCTCTCCTCTCGGGACCCACAAGAACGTCTGAAACCTGGAAAATAATTACTACCTCCCTGTGTTATCATTGACTTCCAAATTCTTCCACATAAGACAGTGGCTTTCAAATTTGTTTGGTTTGGTTTGTTTTTTTGAGACAGGATCTCTCTCACTCTGTTGCCCAGGCTGGGGTGCAGTAGCATGATCATAGCTCACTGCAGCCTCAACCTCCTGGGCTCAAGTGATCCTCCCACCTCAGCCTCCCAAGTAGCTGGGACTATAGGTGCATGCCACCACACTTGGCTAATTTTTGCAATCATGGCACCATCATTGTGTGTTTCGAATCTACCATTGAAAGGCAGAGATATGTGGTTCTGTCAGAACTATAAGTGAATAAATGTGTGTCGTCTTAAGCCACCCAGTTTGTGGCGCTCAGTTACAGCAGCCCCAGGAGACCAACACACTCTGAAATCAAAGCTTAGTGTAATTTTTTTAAATTGTACTATTTTTAGCCCAATTCTGGGCCACGTGCTCTTAGGAAGTAATAGTCCTGATTCGATGCTTCCAGCTGGAGGAGACCCTTCCTCCCCTCACCCATCCAGAGAGATCACCTTGGGGCCGGGCTGCTGGGCGACATCCAGAACAGAGAAACTGTCTGCCCAGGAAGAAGAAGGTTCTTTATTTTTGAGATGGAGTCTGGCTCTGTCGCCGAGGCTGGAGTGCAGTGATGGATCACGGTTCACTGCAACCTCCGCCTCCCGGGTTCAAGCGATTCTCGTGCCTCAGCCTGCCGAGTGGCTGGAACCACAGGCACGCACCACCATGCCCGGCTAATTTTTGTATTTTTAGTAGAGATGGGGTTTCACCATGTTGGCCCGGCTGGTCTTGAACTCCTGACCTCAGGTGATCCACCCACTTCGGCCTCCCAAAGTGCTGGGATTACAGGCGTGTGCCACTGCACCTGGCCAAATAGGGTTTGTCCAGCTGCCAGCAGGGGTCCAGCTGCCCTTGAAAGATGGCGTGGCCCACCCTCTGCCATGGTCCCCGCCTGAGCCGTGACGGGGAGAGGGAGGTCTGGAAGATAAAGACCATGAAGGCAGATGCAGGAATCTCAATTCCTGAGGCTGCTCCTGGGACCCAGCCCAAGTGGGTAGATGCCTGTTTGTCAGCCCAGCCACACATGCAGACCAGAATCCACCAGCTCCCATCAACCTTCGCTTCAGGCATTCAGACATACAACAATTCGAGCATCTGATGGCTTCTGGGATCAAATTTGAAAAGGGAAAGCTGTTGTAAACATATCAGCTGCTAATCAGACCACCTCAAGGAACACTAGGATGAGTGGTTTTTGTTTGTTTGTTTATCTGTTTGTTTTTTTGAGACAGAGTCTTGCTCTGTCTCCCAGGCCGGAGTGCAGTGGTGCGATCTCGGCTCACTGCAACCTCGCCCCGTGGGGTCAAGCTATTCTCATGCCTCAGCCTCCCAAGTAGCTGGGATTACAGGAGCCTGCCACTACGCCCTGCTAATTTTTTAATTTTATTTTTAGTAGAGATAGGGTTTCACCATGTTGGCCAGGCTGGTCTCAAATTTCTGACCTCAGGTGATCTGCCTGTCTCAGCCTCCCAAAGTGCTAGGATTACAGGCATGAGCCACCATGCCCAGCCAGATGAGTGTTCTTTACAGAGCAGAGGTATTTTTAAACATGAAGCATCACTCCGTGGAGGAGTGCGCTGGGGCTGCAGTAACAAAGTGTCACGAGCAGAGGGGCTTAAACCACAGAAGTGCCTCACCTCAGAGCTCTGCAGGCTGGAAGTGCAAGAGCCAGGTGTCTTGCAGGGTTAATTCCTACTGAGGCTGTGAGAGCAAATCTGCCAGGCCTCTCCTCTAACTTCTGGTGTTGGCAGGCAAAACCTGGGGTTCCTTGGTTTGTAGAGGCATCATCCTGATCTTTGCCTTCATCTTCACATGGCCTGTTTGTTTGTTTGTTTGTTTTGAGATGAAGTCTCGCTCTGCCACCCAGGCTAGAGTGCAGCAACATGATCCCTGCTCACTGCAAACTACTCCTCCCAGGTTCAAGTGATTCTCCTTCCTCGGCCTCCTGAGTGGCTGGGATTAGAGGCATGCACCACCATACCTGGCTAATTTTTTTTGTATTTTTGTTAGAGATGGGTTTTCACCATGTTAGCCAGGCTGGTCTTGAACGCCTGGCCTCAAGTGATCTGCCCACCTCGGCCTCCCAAAGTGTTGGGATTACAGGGATAAGCCACCATGCCAGGCCAGTTTGGAAGGTTTTGAAAAGCTAAACATACACACACACACACACACTATTGTGATGCCCCCAATTCACCCCAAGACATACACTAAAGAGAAATGTGTGCATGTCCACCAAAAGACATGCAAGAATTTAGAGAGCGGCACTGCTGGTGATTGCTAAAAACTGAAAACATTTCTAACCTCCATCCTCCAAGGGGAAAATGGGTGAATAAATAGAGGTGTGTTCAAATGGTGGGATTCTACTCAGCACTAGAAAAGAGCAAACTGCAGCCTCACGTGGCAATGTGGATGAGAAAATCAGGCACCAAAAAGAAGAGACAATTTTGTTCCATTGATGGGCAGTTCAAAAACAGGCAAAAGGTGTCAGGAGTCAGAACAGTGCTTACCTTTGGGAGTGGGTAGGAACTTGGGGGGCTGTGGGATTGAGGGGGCAGTTTCTCTGCTGCTTCTAACATTCTGTTCCTCAATCTGGGTGCTAGTTAGAAAAGCATGTTCTGTTTGTGAGAATTCACTGAGCTGAGGTTATGATACATAACATGATATGATGCATAATATGATATAGAATAGAACACAACATAACATCTCTCAGCTCTGGCTTCTTTTTGCTTGTAAAATGAAATAATAAGAATACTCACCCTAGCCGGGCACGGTGGCTCACAGCTGTAATCTCAGCACTTTGAGAGACTGAGGCAGGTGGATCACCTGAGATCAGGAGTTTGAGACCAGCGTAGTCAACGTGGTGAAACCCTGTCTCTACTAAAAATTTTTTAAAAATACAAAAACTTAGCCAGGCATGATGGCACACTCCTATAGTCCCAGCTACTTTGGAGGCTGAAGCAGGAGAATGACTTGAACCCAGGAGGCAGAGGTTGCAGTGAGCCAAGATCACGCCACTGCACTCCAGCCTGGGTAACAGAGTAAAGAGTGAGATTCCATCTCAAAAAAAAAAAAAAAAAAAATCACCAGGTGTGCTGTCATGTGCCTGTAATCCCAGCTACTCAGGAGGCTGAGGCAGGAGAATCCCTTGAACCCAGGAGACAGAAGTTGCAGTGAGCCAAGATCATGACAGTGTACTCCAGCCTGGGTGACAAGAGCAAAACTACATCTCAAAAAAAAAAGAGTACTCACCCTGATAGAGTCAATGTGAGAAATAGTAAAAGTTCCTGGAACATAGTAACTGCTCAATAAATGACAGCATTTTGTTTTTTCTAGGCAGAATGAATCTTTGGTGATGAAAGTGAGAATCTGGGAGGTAATGGTGGCGGCCTGTGGTGGGAGCCTCTGGGGCACTGCTGAGAGATGGCGCTGGGCGGTGTCATGGGCGCAGGCTCACTTTCTAATAATTCTTCCAGCTGGGTACCTGATTCGTGGGCTTTTCTGTGGGCATGTCATACTTAAACACAAAAATAACTTACCAAAAATGCAAATAAAAGTATCCATTTCACAGATTATGAGGATTAAAAAGATAAGAAACCTAAAGCACTTAGCATTGTGCCTCCCACAGTTTAAGAGCTCGGTGCCTGTCTGCTGTTGTAGCTGCACAATCCCTTATCCAGAAAGCTGTGGGGTTTTGGCATTCGAGTTTGGGGAGCTGTAGGCTGGTAATACAGGGCATATCCTGAATATCACTTACCACCTGCTGCTGGGTCCGACCCCCAGATCCTGGCCAAATGACAGATGAATACATGCACTCAGACACAGGTATCCAGTGAAAGAGTGGGCTAGGGGACTGGACCACTCACAGACACCGAGGAGGGTGCTGTAAAGAGTCAGCATCTGTGGCCCTGACAAGCTGGTGCTTCGGGCATTTATTTAGTACAGATTTAATGACAAAGGCAACACACTTGTGGGTAATTAACATGGTTGCTCCCCTAGAGAGAGCAGTCCTGCGCACAGATGATTAAAGGTCAGGTTCCAAGGCCTAAGTAAATTAACTTATCCAGATCAGTTTCTTTACATCCCCTTGTTATCTAACCTAAGCTTTCAGGTACCAGAAAAGAGAATCTGGCTGCCTTCAGCCCAAATCCTTTTCCGAAGCTTTTGTAAAACCTCCTGGCTTTCCAGGAAGGTTTGCATCTTTCTACAATTTTTCCCACCACCCTAACCAATCTCCTACAACCCCCCACATGTCTGGACAGTGCCCCCCAGAAAACACAGTATCACTGTTCTCACCAATGGATAAAGAAAGTCTATAAATAGTCCCAAGTCCATTCAAATCAATTTTATCCCTAAATGGGTTTTGTCTCCAAATTTACACACAAAAAATGTTCCCAGAGCGTTTTGGATTTCAGAATTGTGGGTAAGGGATTGGGCACCCATATTTTCATCATCATGATGTGTATGATGTCATGTGTTTTCTGCAACTGGAAATTGGATCATTTGTGTTTGGTTCAATTTTGTATAACATTTCCCATTCTACAGAGATGTGAAAACTGGAAGAGAAACGGGCAGTACCTCCAGGATTCGCCTAAACAGATGCTGTGGTTTCCATCAAACCACAGGCCACCCCAGCATCTCAGTGGCTTCTACAGGTTGTCCTGAGAGAGCTACAAGGCCAGGGCCCTTGAGGGATTCCCAGACACCAGCTGCTCCTCCAGGCACCAGTTCCGCCCTCCACCTTTCTGTGCCCGTCCCAGACCCAGGCAGCCCAGGTGAGAAGCTATGGGTAGGAGGTTTCCCAGTGGGTAGGGGTGCCAGACTAAGCAGCTAGAAATATAGAATGCTGGTTAAATGCAAATTTCAGATCAATGATAAATAATTTTTTGTGTAAGTGTATCCCATGCAGCATTTGAAATACAGTTTAATCAAATTTAACTAGATGACCTGCATGTTGTACGAAACTCCCTAGGGGGTGTGTCTCCAGGATAGAGCACCAGTGGAGAATGGTAGCCCACACTGTTATGGGATGAAGTGTGTCCCCCAAAATCAACATATTGCCGCCCTAACCCCCAGAACCCCGGAATAAAACTATTATTTGGAGTTAAGGTCTTTAAAGAGGTAATTATGTTCTAATGAGGTATTTAGGGCAGACCCTAATCCAATAGGACTGGTATCCTTCTAAGAAGAGGATGGGGCATCAGAGGAGAGGCCATGTGAGGATACCATGGGAAGGCGGCCACCTGCATGGTGGTCCCACCCAAGGAGAGGGACCTCAGGAGAAACCAGCCCTGCTGACACCCTGAGCTCCTTGTAATTCCAGCCTCCTAGACTGTGAGAAAATATACTTGTGTTATTTAAGCCCCTCAGTCTGTGGTTCTTTGCTGTGGCAGCCCTAAGAATCTAATACACATGCCAACCTGTCCAGGCACAGATGGGCCATCTTCAGGGAGAGGGTATGGGGGATCTGCAGGCCTGCCAGGGATGAACCATGCGGTGGGGCCCTCAGCAGTGGAGGCAGCTTCCCCCAACCCCAAGCCCCCGGCCCCTCCCCCCGAGATATGTATGCTCTGAGTTCAGTCTGTTTCCAAGCCCCTTCCTGTGCCTGTGGAGTCAATGTCACCCCCAGTCTCGGGGTATCCTTGCACTGATATGCTCCACTACACCCTCCTACCCACCCCGCGGCTTCCTGAACTGCACCCCCAAGTGCACCGCTCTGCATCTGGCTTCTCCATCAACCACGTGCCCTGGAGTTTCTCCGAGCTGTCCATGTGGGCAGCCTCCTTTTGAAGCCTGGAGTGGGTGAGTATTGAGCAGAGGCGATGGCAGGGTCTAGAGCTCATTCATTCCTGAGTAGGGGAAACTTTAAGATTCCTTCTGTACCACAAGTGAGTGCCGCCTGCCTGGGGGTGTGCACGCCCTGCCCTGAAACTACTGCCTCAGAGCATGGGTAGCTGGTCAACCTAGGCATTGCCCACGCCTCCCACTTGGGCAGTGGGCAGCCCCACTGCCCCTCTGTTCATCTTCCATTGACCAGTGGAGTCTCAGAGATGTCTTGATTTTTTTTTTTTTTTTTTTTTTTTTGAGACAGTTTCACTCTGTTACCCTGGAGTACAGTGGTGCAATCTCTGCCCCAACCTTCCAATTAACTGGTATCACAAGCGTGCACCACCATGCCTAGCTAATTTTTGTATTTTTAATAGAGATGGGGTTTCATCATGTTGGCCAGGGTGGTCTCAAACTCCTAACCTCAAGTGATCCGCCTGCCTTGGCCTCCCAAAGTGCTGGGATTACAGGTGTGAGCCACCGCACCCAACCTGTCTTGATTTAATAGTCATTCAAGGTGCTCATTTCTTGACTGAATGGCTACAAGAGCAGATATAAACGAACACATCCAATCAGTCTTGCCCTGGGTCTGAAGTGGGATTCTCAGCACCAGCGATCTGTTGCACTGGATCATTCTCTGCAGTGGTGCCAGCCTCTGCCCTGCAGGATGTTTAGCAGCGTCCCTGGACCTCACCCACTAGATGCCAGCAACAGCTCCCTGCCCCGGTTGTGACAAGCAAAAATGTCCTCAGACATTACTCCAAGCACTGAGGTTGGGAACCGCTGTTCTCAAGGTTTCCAAATGCATCTCACGCCATAGGTCTATGCACAGAATAAATGAATGATTCACTGTTGACCAATGAAGGTTTTGTTTGGAGACAGGTGCTATAATAGCAGGAAGAAAACTCCCCAAAGAAAAAGTGTGCTATCAGCTGAAGCATCTCCCAAGTCCAGCCCTGCACCCCCACATGCATCCCCACACGCATGTGCTGTCAGGAATCAACCGAACCCTTGTTTCTCTCGCAGAAAATTGGTGGAAGCAATCCTTGCTTGCGTGCCAGGATGCCTGTCCAGGTGAAGCCAGCGGGAGTCTCTCCAGATTCTAAGGCAGTGATGGGAAAGCGAAGGAGGCAGAAACGACCAAAGGCCATCCTCTGTCAGTAATTCACTCTGTCAGCCCTCCCTAAGCCGGGTGGTGGGCGTTGTGCATCAGAATGCCGGGCTCTTGTGGGGTAATGAGAGGGACTCATACGTGGCCAAGCTGTAACTCAAACCTGGCAGGACTCCAGAGCCCACTGGCTTCACTCTGCCCTCTTAAATTCTACAGTTAGAGCTCCCCAGGGGAGGGCAACCCATTGACTTCAATGTTCACTCACCTGTAAAGAGGCGACATGAGATTTTCTCCCATTCATGGGTTTCCTGATGTTAGGCTGGAGCACAGAGCAGGGTCCCTAGGACACCTACGGGCTGAAGAGAACCCTGGGTAGAAGAGAGTGTGTGTGTGTTTCATGATGGTGCCAGGAGCTGGCCCTTTGCTATAAACCAGGTCCTATTTTGAGCGTGCTGGGAAGTTCAGTAGTAGCGTTCCATAGACACTTCTGAGATGCACAGGCACATTTTCTGCCTAATGTGGCCAGGAAAAATTGCCCTGATAAAACCAATGACATCATGGATTAGAACCTGAGGACCGCGCAGTCTAGCGGTTCCCGATCTTGCTGCCTTTCACGGCTCCCCAGGTGATGTTAATAGGCAGCAAAATCAAGAACCACTGGCCCTCAGGGCCCTTGCTGCCAGTGAACAGGCAGCAGTCGATGTCCAGGCCCTCCCCACCAACTAAATCGGGGTCTCCAGGATGGGCTCGTGCCTCCGCGGTTCCTGGCTCCCCCGTGCAGCTGGGACCTCCCTCAGTGATCCAGGATTCTCACACCATAATGCGCATCTGAACGAATCGGGGCGCTTGTGAAAATTTGAATTCTGGCTCAAGAGGCTTGGATGAGCCTGAGATTCTGCTAGGAGCTAGGAAAAGTGTGATCCAGAGCTAGGAAAAGTGTGATTCTTGGATGCTTGTCATCTGGGAGCTTGTTAGAGGTGCAGGATCTCAGGCCCCACCCAGAACCTAAGGATCAGAATCTACATTTGAAAAAGGTGCAGGCTTGTTGAATATTAAGTCCCTAGTTTGAGACAACCTACTACAGCTTGAAGCCTCTATTTGCTCATGAGGAAGTGAGGTTCAGAGAAATGGGGCCCTGGACCCCACAGCTACTCAATGCAAAAAGCTTTAGGAACTGTGCTTGCCTGCAACCCAAGCATCTTCTTCCCACCCTTGCTTGTCTCACTAAAGACTGCATTTGTTTCTCTGACAATGATAATTTCAGGCAAGGTATAAAACTTGCTCCTCCTGTTACATTTAATTCAGGCATGAAACCAAACAAACCCAAAAATGTAGAAAGGAAAGAGAAGAAATGGGGCTTAAAAAGATCTAAAAATGGGACAGAAGCAAGGTGCCTTTTTCATCTTCTCTTTGATTAAAAAAGGTCTGTGAGCTCGAAGCCCACAGGTATGTGACTCAGTGCAGACGAGGGGAAACTCCGTGGGAAGTTTTGGATCCTTCCTATTAGAAGAAATAGGAATTTAGCCCAGCTCAGGGAAAACATATGAGCTTCCTTTGACTCTCCCAGGATGAGCTAGTTGCAGCATCGTGGTGAAAAAATAAAATAATACAAAAGTGTTCACCAAAAGGAAGTTCTGTTTCCTCTATTTCTGAACCCACAGAGAGCTAAAATGACTCTGATGAGTCAGAAGCCAGCGCCCCTGAGGGAGCCACCAAAGGAAGATACTGAGCTTTTAATGTTTCCTTAAAGGGCAGCCCTAACCCTTCCCAGGGCGGAGCTGATTTTCGGAAATAGCCAAAAGTGGTTTCAAGTCACATCACATGATTGAGGTGGGTGACCAAACTCAGCACGATGCTAGAAACAAATCCAAATGTGACAATAAGTGACATTCCTGGTTTATTTATTTTGAGATGGTGGTCTCTATCCGTCACCCAGGCTGGAGTGCAGTGGCATGATCACACCTCACTGCAGCCTCTACCTCCCAGGGTCAAGCCATCCTCCCACCTCAGTTTCCCAAGTAACTGGGACTACAGGCATGTGCCACCATGCCCAGGTAATTTTTTTTTATTATTTATTTTTTGTGGAGACGAGGTCTCGCTATGCTGCGAGGCTGGTCTCAAACTCCTAGATTCAAGTGATCCTCCCACCTTGGCCTCCCAAAGTGCTGGGATTACAGGCATGAGCCACTGCACCAGGCCTGGTTTCTTCATGCAGGCTGTCACCTGGCTCTAAAAGGCAGTTTCTTATAAAAGTCCCAGCTGTGGCTTGAGCAGGAACAGCTGCATGGACAACAGCATGGAGCTTCTCAAGGTGCCTCCTTTGAAGGGCAAAAGTGGGTCTGATGGGTTGTTCAAAGCGGGTACCCGAGGGTCACATTCCCTGCATCCAATTCCCACTCCCACTTCACTTCCTCCTTCCTTCCTTCCTTCCTTCCTTCCTTCCTTCCTTCCACTTTTTAAACAAGCTTGGGCAAATTTTATTAAAGGAAAATTTTGCATGGTTTACTTTTCACCAATCTGTTCTGGCATGCTTCTAATGATGTCAGAATCACCTGGATCAATGATAGCCATTGAGCACACTCTGTAGTATTTTCCGCATGCTGTGCCCAGTTCAATATTATTGCCACCGTAGTGATGGACACCAATTTTGGCCAACATTCCATAGCTGGGCGGTTGTGAGAATGACCAATTTCGCTTTGCCTTGTCTGATCATCTTCAGAGTCTGCTTGTACCCCAGCTCATACTTTCCACCTTTCATAACGAGTTGGAGCCTACAGTTGACTGACTCCAGGAACTTTTTCTTCTTCTTTGTGGCCACCAACTTCCTGCCTTAGGTGCAGGATGACCTCCAACCGAGAGCAGCCACTAAGATGGCCGGGGAGCGGGAAAAGCCTCATTTCTTTCATAAAGGTGATTGCCCATTTTCAGACACAGGATAGGGGTTTATTGAGGGTGCCACCAAGGAGAAGGGGGGTCACCACCTGAGAAGGGACCATGGGGGGCTGCCATGGCAGGTGGCAGAGGGCAGAGCAAAGAAGGGGCAGACATCGCCCCTATCAGTTTGCTTGTGCTGCACTAACAAAGTACCACAGATCGGGGCTTAAACAATGCAAACTTACTGTCTCACAGTTCTGGAGGCCAAAAGTTCAAGATCAAAGTGTGAATAGGGCTTGTCCCC